TTTAACGACGTGGGTGGGCAATTAGTCACCGAAAAAATAGAAGATAACCCCTCACCATAAACTCAAAAAGCAAGATAGTATAGTCTAACATTATATTACCTTGAGACCTGCTGGAAATGTTCTCAGTATATCAGAATGCTTCAAAACAAACTTTTCTAAGAAATGGAAACAAGGATGAAAAATTACAAATTGCTAACAACAGTTAAAAAACACACAATAAATAAAAAAAGCAACAACAGCAACATCCACTTCGTTTATACTTCTATATACCATTACAGTCAAACCTCCCGTAAGCGTATACCCAAAATGCAAAGACTGAGTGGTCGCTTACTGGGCGTGGTTGTTTACAAGAATCGAACCACCGGAGACTTCTACCGAGAAGAGGTCCTGAGGGACATCCCCTTTATGGAGGATAATTTATTGCATGCAATTTCTAAGTTACCACATGTCTAGTCCATGTTGTCACTAAAGTTCGTCGTATATTCTGAGTAGCATAGTGCACCCCTACCGCGAACTTAGAAATCAGAGAATGCGTCAAGCGGTCGCTTACAAGAGGTTAAAAACAATGGAAAATCATTAACCGTCAGGCCCAAAAAGTGGTTGCGGTCGCTTACTGGAGGTAAGGCTTTGACTGGAGGTTCGACTGTATTTACTGCCTTTTAGTAAATCACTTTTTTCGTACATAATTGAATAGACTTTTCCACGTTTTTTTTTCAGTTTTCATTAAAAACTAGTTAGCAAATATCCACTAACACTCTTAGAAGGAGGGCCTTAAAGTTAGGAAACTTAAAATGGCATCTTAACTAATTTCGGGGTACAAACATTAACCACAAGGGACTGCAAAGGACCGCAAACGAATATGCCGAAGAACGTAGGATCTATAAAGACCTGATTAGCAAAAATATTAATGTAGACATATTTAATTCTGCCAGCAGAATACTGCAATGCTGATCGTACTACGTGAAAATTAACTCTGCAAGACATCAACACCACACCGAAAGAACTCAAAACAGAGCGGGATTGTAGCCATAGACAGCTGTTTCGCCCTCTTTGGTGCTCGTCAGTTTGGCGTAACAACCAGAGATCAGGCTCTGATGAAAAATATCCGCGCACTCAGATTTTAGCCCTGACCCAGAACTCTTTAATAACACCCACAGAATAACGCCGTGTCATGTGTCATTTCCTGTACATGTATCTTTATTATTGTTATTATCATTACTCGATGTTAATGTTATGGGCGTTTTAAATGGTGCTTAAAAAGATTTGTTAAAATAGGACAAGTGGAATTCCTTTAGTCTATTTTTCTTCGGTTACAACCTTTCCATTTTCACCGTTCATGTATTGTGCATCTTATTTCCATCACAAACTAAAGAACAAAACACTCCAATACATCTAATGACTTATCATCATCATCATCATAATTATTTATTGACTTGTTTATTTATTTATATTTATTTTTTTTATTTAGTTAACCAGTTACTCACCACCCGCCGCTAAACTGCAGAATTTTTCATTCTGGCTGCAAACGTCCCCCGTCCCCCTTAAATACAATTGACCGCCCGGTTCTATCCACACCTTGTACTCTGATGTCGCCGCAAAAATGGCTTCATCTTATGGAGGATAAAAAAACAAAAATATAACAAAAAAATCATAAATTTATCTTTAAGTCGAATAATTGATCAGCTTGAGATGATTTAAGCAGTCAAGTTATTTCTTAGTTTTTTTCATGGGACCAGAGGCAGATCCAGGAAATTCTTGATATGCCGGTTAATTTTTTTCCCTCAAAATTCTTTTACCAAGGAAATACTAGCCATCTTTCCCGCCTTTCACGTTTTTTTCCTGTTAACGCTCGTCACAGAAAAATTTGAATAAGCTCAATTTTTGAAACTAAACTAGTGAGCAGCACTCTGCGAACTGTTGCTGTAAAACTTGTTTATTCTCCTTACGCGTTTCGTCTAACTAACGTAGACTTCTTCAGGGAGTTTTACAATAAAATACTAAACGCCTGTATTTAAGCCGTAATATGACTAAAAATAATAATGGGCGCAAACATTGAAGAATAAACAAGTTTTACAGTAACAGTTCGCAGAGTGCTGCTCACTAGTTTAGTTTTAAAAATGTAAAAAATTTTTAAAAATTAAAAAAATAAATAAAAAAATTGCGACCTTGCAGAGTAATTCTCGGAAGACCTTAAGGGATTGGTTGGGAAAACTGCAGTGAGCAAAAAAAATTAACACTTGAACCCTAGCGAGAAAACAAAAGAACTGGGCCGTACAGCTAGGGGTCCAATTAAACTGGACATTTTGAACAGCTGCAAGGCTTCTCACAAGCTCGATTTTATGGTTAAGAGGAGAGGTGTTGCACCACTTTCATTTTATAGCTATCATTGAGCGTAGGTCCAGGTTTATCAGTCATCTTACAATTATCGGCGGTGTCGCGTTATCTGCACCTCTAAGTGTCGGACACTTGTCTAAGAGGGAAGGGTTGGCCCCTTCGATGTCCGTCTTAGGAAGAGTTGAGTGTAGTTCCTCACCTAATCACACATGTGTACTATTGCAGCGAGTCGTTAAAAGGAATTAAGCCAAGATAGTTTTAGCTTACCTGGAATAAATACAAGCGTGAAATTGTATCGTGTTCTGAACGGTATGAACGGCCAGGGAGACGCTTTGAACTCTACATTCTTTTGGTTTGTTGGGCCTGATAGAAGAAATATGATTTCAAAAAAAGATTGAAAATGGTTTAGTGACTTGAAGCCGATCAATTAAGAGTCAAGTGTAATTACGAAAATTTCCTAACATTCCTTTCTTGTCGATCGAAACTTCAACCAGTCTACTGCTGTTAAGCTGTTGCCACTGTTGTTGATGCTTCTGCTACTTCTACTTCTGCTGCTCTAACTCTTTCACTGCTATTGCTTTCGACTGCTGCTACTGCCACTACTACTACTACTACTACTACTACTACTACTACTACTACTACTACTACTACTACTACTACTACTACTACTACTACTACTACTACTACTACTACTACTACTACTACTACTACTACTACTACTACTACTACTACTACTACTACTACTACTACTACTACTACTACTACTACTACTACTACTACTACCAAATCGATCATTTGCCAAGAGAAAATAGATTATGTCCTTTATGTAACTCAAATCAGGTAGAAGATGAGATTCATTTCCTCTTTCAATGTAACAAATACTCAGTACAGAGACAGGCATTTATTAATCAAATCAATCGAATAATACCTGACTTTGACAAGAAATCATCTCCGGAAAGCATACAACTGATAATGAATTCGAAGGAACATCATGTAAATAAGTTAGTTATGAAGTTTGTCTCCTCCTGCACGAAAATACGTGATTCATTGTTAGTAATGTAACCGAATTTTTCTAGATTGTTATTAGTGCTGTTTTGTTTTTTATTTTGATTGTCATATACATGCTTTTGCAATACTGTAAAGTGATGCGGTCATGCAAATAAAGCAATTTATTACTATTATTACTATTACTACTACTATCACCACTACTACTACTACTTCAAAATGTAAAATGATGCGGTCATGCAAATAAAGCAATTTATTACTATTACTACTACTACTACTACTACTACTACTA